TGTTTATGTCTCCCCATTGCCTTTTTGCTTGCACGGTTTGTGCTGAATAGTCAGAGCGTAATCTGATTTGCTTGCTTTTGTAAGTGACACTTCTCTTTTCCCTGGCCACCTTTAGGGTTGGGTTCTCTCCTTGTCTTTGATTTTGGAGAGCTTGATTATTATATGTTTTGGTGACTTTCTTTTGGGGTTTATCCTTCCTGTTGTACATTCTGCTTCTTGAATGTTTATCTTCTCATCTTTCAAGATGTTAGGGAAATTTTCTTCCAGAAGCTCTTCAACTATCTCCTCTATTGAGTTCTCTGATCCTTCCTGTTCTTGAATGCCAATAATTCTTAAATTGTTTCTCTTCATGTTATCCATCATGAATCTTAGACTCTCTTCAGGTTTTGTTATCCTTTTTTCTACTTGGTCTTCTATCTTTTCAGTTTTGAGAGATTTGTCTTCCAGCTTGCTGGTTCTGGCTTTCATCTCTTCTCTTCTGCTCCTTTCCCCTTTCAGTGTATTGTCCATTTTTGATATTTTATTATTAATTATCTGGACCTCTTTTTGCAGGTTTTGAATTGTTTCCAATGCTCTATCAATCTTGTTTGATTGCTCTTATAGTACTTTCCTGGCTTCTTCCTTCTTTTCCTCCACCATTTTTTGGAGCATTTGAATTTGTTTCCATATCATTCTTCTGAATTCTTTCTCAGGCAAATCCAAAACCTGCTCTTCCTCTACTGGGGAGCCTTTGTCTGTCTCCAGCGCAGTTGTCTTCAGTTACTCTTTTCTGTTTTTGGACATGTTTGAGATTGTTTGTTGTGTTTGAGATCTTTTGTTTGTCATTTCCAGTAGTTATGTGGTTTTTTAATGCTTAAATATATGTTTGTTGTTGTGTTATTAAGCTTAATGGGTGTCTCCTGCTGGATATGTTAAGCAAATAGGCTTCCCTTTTCGCATGTAATGCTTAGCAGCTGTTATTGGCTCTTGTCTCAATGGTGGAATATTATGGTGTCTGCTTGTACCTTGCCTATATGGCCACGATTGCTGTCTCTTCTTTGGTAACATAGGGTGAAAATTTTCCCACCTCGAGGAAAAATGTGTGATCACAAAGACCAAAAGCAGAAGCAATATAAAAGTAGAGACAAAAATCACCACTTTGAAACAAAAATAAAACTGTGGCCGACTGTTCAATCGCCTTGCTAAAGAGGCAGTGTGTGTGCGCCATAGAAGCCTCTAGCAGTTGGTGGGGGTGTCCGCTCGCTCAGGCCCCTCCTCTAGGCACCACCGTAGATGTGTGCAGATAGATACTGAGAAATTAATGGGAGAAAGATTGCCCACTATTTTGGGTCTGAAGGTTAGTTAGGTATCTGTGTGTGCACAGCATTAATTCTTGAGATATTTGCATCCTTTTATATTGGGGTTTTACAGATTGTTCTATGGTTTGTCTGTCAGGCCTGACGGGTCTTCTTTTTTCTTGCTAGATAGTAAATGGTCCTGCACAAGTTAATTTTAGGGGTGGGACCCCAAGGCTGTCGTCATAAATACCCGCCTAGCTCTTTTTCTCTGTACTGTGAGAAAACTGTGGGGTCAGCACTGGGCTATTTTTTTGGATGGGGGCGTTGCATACCCACCCGCCTGAAGGCGTCCGGGCTGGGCAAAGAAGGTGTGGCAGGGTGTAGGAGGAAAAAAATGTATAGAATCCCCTGCACCTCCTTTTGTAAATGTCACTGCACCGCTTTTAACACCTGGTTCCCTGTGCCGTAGCCCCGCCCTCTGAACTCCGCCTGGGCAGGGTGGCCGCATAGGGAGTCCTGTCTCCAGAGATTCCTAACTTGTAGTATTTTCCTTTATATCATGATTTTTTCACTTGTGAGTGCAGGAAAGTGATGTCCTGGACCTTATGGTAGACCCAGAGCTCTGGTGGTGTTCTGTGAGCTCAGCTTCTGTGAGTTTTCAATCCCTCCCGCACGGAGCCTTTCCTACCTGGCTGTCTCTGCTGCCACCCAAACCAGAAGTCCTAGAATACACTTTTGAAAAAATATACTTAATGGCATGTTTTCAAGGGAACTGTAAGCTGTCCTATACAAAGATGCCCTCCAAGAAGTACCTGTCAGAATATAATACCCTAATGATAATTTCTTAAGACTAAAATTCAGATGAGTTCAGAGAGCAATGTTTTTGGTATGTAATTCATTTGTGCTGTTGTTAGTTGGCCTTTGAATCGGTTTCAACTCATAGTGACCTGATGTATGAAGAATAAAACCTTAGTGAATTATTTGTTCAGCTCTTAAATCAATTTCCATTTGTTGGCTAAGTTTTACATCTTTAGCAATTTAACTTTTAGTAGACATAATTTCTCTAGTTATATCTTTAACATGATTGCTTTGGGGGTTCTACCTGCCAGCCATTTAAAAAGAATTTTTTAGTGGTTTCTTTAAGATATGACTACATGGACTTGAGTGAACTGGTGGTTGAGACCTGGTGCCCGCTCCCCTTAGGTACTTTGTGAAGCTCACAACCTGACATTTTAAAGAAGGCCAGCATTGCTTCTTAGTCTGTTCTTGAAGGTATATGCTATATATTCTTGAATGTATCATGGGGTCATGCTCAGGTTTGAGAACTAGCTTTTTGAGGAATATATTTTATATCTTAATTGTTTTTCAAACAATGACATAAAACCCATCATATTATCAATTATTTTCAATTTAGCTACATTGGAACTCAGGTTTTAAAAAGGCAATAAGATGTATGTTTGTCTCTTTTTTAAGACTGATGTTAAGTATTATGTGTGGATACTTTAAAATTTTGAATACCTAGAAATTTTAAAGTCCTTTTAAAAAACAGAGCTTGCTATAAGAACTTCTAATGATATATGGGAAGGTAACTCAAGATGTTGTTGTTGTTGTTTTAATATGTAGCCTCTAAGCATTTGATTTGTATTCACCAGTAAAAATTATTAAGCTCAACATTGCCATCTTAAGTATAGATCAATTTTGTTAAAAGCTAAAATTTCATCAATCGATCCAGTATCATATGTTTGTGATGTTAATAGACAGTCTGAATATATTGTTGTTGTTGTTGTTGTTGCTTTTATGTGCTGTTGAGTCGATGCCAACTCATTGCAACCCTGTATAGGGTTTCTGAGGAGCGCCTGGTGATTTTGAACTACTGACCTTGTATTTCAAACCAAGTTTCCGGTGCGCACCAGGATTCCAGGAGCTTCTCCCACTGTTGCTGTCATTTTCCCCTGATTCTCCTCTAGTAATTTAGCTTCTGGAAGGGTAACAAACTTGAGCAATGCTGCCTAATTCTCTTTAGTGTGTTTAGAGCCCCTGAAAAAGAAGGTAGTCTTTTCCTCTGAGTTTACCTTCCTTTTTAAGTGCTTCATTATATCTTAACAGGTAAAGCCCACTTGGTAAACAGTACATTGTCATCAGAAGCTTAGCCTTAGAAAGAGGTCCTCTTTCCTTCCAGTTTCTGGTAGAGGCAGTGGTGTGGGAGGTTTCCTGTGCTTTGGGTCTGGGTACTGAGCTAAGAAGGGACAGATTGTAGCAGGAATGAAAGAGTAGGATTCATAAAATAATCAGTTTGACAGAGCAGCTGAGTACTGTGAATAGTTGTAATTTACTAGTCTGAATATTAAATTCTGGTGTTTCAAACAAGAGGAAGTATAGTGTGCATTGTTGGGTGGTAGTGCAGTGTTGCGATGAGTTTTTGATTCACAGATGATGGTGACATCAACCGTTGGGTTCCATGTGTGTCAGATGTATGCAATTTTGAAAATTATTTTTGAGAAAACCCTTGAAAAGGGTTTGATAGAGTTGTTTTTATCAAGAGTGCCCTTCTTAAACCACCTGTCTTTCCGTGAGGAAGAGCCTGGCCAATATTTTGCTCCCAGAGCACTGACCACAATTATGCGTCTTATTTTCCACAAAGTCGGTGGTTCAAACTCACCAGCCACTCCTCGGAAAACCCTTTACAGGGCACTATGACTCGGAACCGACTCGATAACTCTTAACAACAAACAATAAATTACGTTTAGTGGGTTACTCATACAACTGCTAACCACAAAGTCGGTGGTTCAAACACACTAGCCACTTCATGGGAGAAAGATGTAGCTGTCTGCTTTGGTAGAGATGTACAGATTCGGAAACTCTTTGCAAGGTCCCTGTGAGTCAAAATGGACGTGATGGCAGGGCGTTGGATTTATTCTAGCTCATAAGTAAACTCCATAGGGTTCGGCCTTTTTCCTATGCCCCTTGCTAGCTGCTTGTCAATGATACATATAGCTGTCATAGGTCAGGTTACCCCCAGGATTTTTAAAGTGATTCTAGCAGTAGAGTTCTTGGTAAAGGAGTCCTGGGGTGGTGCTGTGGGTTAATGCGCCAGACTGCAAAGCCGTTTCAACTGCAAGGTTGGCATTTCAAGCTCACCAGCTGCTCCATGGAAACCCTATACAGGGTCTCTATGGGTCGGAGTCGACTCTATGGCACTTAACAACAACAAAGCAAGTTCATTCAAAATCCTCGTGCCCCCCCTATAGAGCTGCCCCATACGGTTCCCAAGGCTGTCATCCCTACATACGCAGGCTGCCACAGCTTTTATCCCTGGTGCGTTGAACCACTTTGCCACCAGAGCTTGCTTAAAAGGGCCATACTGTTTTTTTAAAAAAATTTTAATTCATCACTCCTAAAGAACCTCTTCTGACTAGACTAAGTGTTACCAAGTTTTCGCAGTGTTTCTGTACTATGGCATGTGGGATTGTTTACTGTAGTTGTCGGTTTCATGTTCTGACAGAAAATAGAACAGAACACATGCTGGATTTACATTCTTGAACTGTGACTGAGATATTCTTCTCCATCTTCCTATTCTTAGATGCACGCATGTTCGACAGAAATGGTTTAAGAGGCTGCTTGGTGTTGGGATTTGAATAAATAAGTCACAGTGTTGTCTACCTTTTTGACCTCCAGAGAGAGTGATGAGTGTGTGTGACTGACTTGTACCGTTGTCTCTTTTAGGATGGGTCGAACCTCAGTGCAAGTCAGAGGGCCTATGCACCTGAGCAGCTGCAGAAACAGGACAGTCTAACCATAGACACACAGTACTACCTGGCCCAGCAGGTCCACCCAGTGGTGGCTCGGATCTGTGAGCCAGTAGACGGAATTGATGCTGTGCTCATTGCAACCTGGTTAGGTAAGTTTCCCAAGCTCACAGTGACCTTCTCATAGCAACAGTAGCACGTGTAGCACGTGCAGACCTCTTGCACCTGTTGTATTCCCTGTTTGTAAGGATAGTACTATGTCTAGTACTTCTCTTGTATATAGTTGTTAAGTGCCATCAAGTCAGTTCTGACTCATAGCGACCCTGTAAAGGATTTTTGAGGAGTGGCTGGTAAGCTTGAACCACCAACCTCGTGGATAAAACCAACTTTGCAATCCAGCACATAAACCACAGCGCCACCCCAGAACTCCCTGTTTACATAGTTAGGCATTTCTTTGTGCAGGTATTAATGTCTGTCTCCCCACACAGAAGAGGACCTTTACAGACTCACTACCCTTGTACCTACATGCGTGCCCTGTATTTGGTATCCAATAAATACACCAGTACTGAGGAAGAGGAAGGAAAAGAAAGGAGTGAAGTCGAGATTTTATGAGTCTTAATAGTCACCAACTGCACTGTTACAGGTTTGGTGTCCAATAAATGACCATTAGTGAGATTGGTGGTATCTTGATTGGTGGTCCATCTTCTTTCTGACTCTAAAGGTATTGTCATATAATGTGAGAGTATGCAGGATTTTGTTTAATATGGAAATTTTTGCGTTTTTAATCCTTATTTTTCTTTAAGTAGCCTTTGTTTCTGTTAAGTGTCATTGAGTTTTAACTTTTAACAGCTTGTGCTTTACTTGTAATTCCTCTAAAACTGGACTTGCTGTTATCTTCTAGGAACGGGCTGCCAGTTCTACACTCTTATCATGCCAGAAGGTGCCCCCCAACCCTGAAACTTCAGTGTTCTCCTCTGACTTTTACATTTTTTTCCTTGTTATTCCACAAGATGATCATGTCTTGCCCAGAAATGTATTTAATAACCAGCCCGGATTTCATTTCTAGACGACCAGCATGTAAGGAGTTACACTGCTTTTAGGCTCTGTGCTCTCTAATCCATCTTAAACAAAGATGAATATTCTAAGAGTACTGCCTAGGGAGGTCCTTAGATGCCTCCTCTCTGTCTGTACATAGAGTCCTGATACCATATGCTGGCGATTACAGACTCTTTCTAACTTCAGTGTATTTCTAGCCTTTTTCCTTACTACATCAACTCAGAAAAAGAAGGAAAAAAATCCACTGACATCAGCTCAATTCTAACTTATCTAGCATTTCTAAGACTAAATCTTCACAGGAGCAGACTGCCTCGCCTTTATCCTGCTGAGAGACTGGTGGGTTTGAACTGCTGACTTTGCAGTTCAGTGCTTAAGCAGCCTAATGCTTAACTCATTACTATACCAGTTATTTTTAGGTCTATTCAGTGTCTTCCTAAATGTGGTATTGTTCATTGTATCTCGGCTTCATGGAAAATTCTCCCCTGAGCCTCTCACTAAAAGATACAAGTTAAGACATGGACATTAGCACCATACTGCCTTGAGTTTGAATGTTGGCTTTACTATTCACAAGTTCTGTGGCTTTGGCAAGCCTCTAAATGTTGGTTTAAGCCACAATTCCTTGAGTTGTACAATAGGGCTGCTCTCAGGCTGAAATAAGGTGATGCTTGGGAGATGCAGCACAAAGCCTGGAGCAGGAATTTTCTGAGTGCCATGCGTGGAGTCAGTTTTAACTCATAGCAACACTGCATAGGGTTTCCAAGGCTGTAAATCTTTATGGTAGCAGACAGCCTCTTCTTTCTCCCACAGAACCGCTGGTAGTTTCAAATTTCTGACTGTGAGATTAGCAGCCCGAATTGTAACCACTATACTAGTACTCAGTAAATGCTATTCATAGGCAATCCCACCTTTCTTTCAGGCTTCAGTATAAGTATGTACACACTCCTGCAGCCCATAGGATTTGCGCAGAGTGGTTCAAACTCACCAGCCTCTTCTTAGAAACACTATACAGGGTTGCTATGAGTCCAAATGGACTTACGTGCACTCAACAGCCACAGTGCTCGGTACCTTGAATGAGTTGGATTGACAACATAAGCACAGCAGTGAACTCAACTGTGCCATCAATGATGAAGGTGGCACAAGACCAGGCAGTGCTTCATTCTGTCATTCTTTAGGTCGCCATGAGGTAGAGCCATGCCAGCTGACAACAACAGTGCGCACTCAGTAGATGTGTGCAGGTTTCGATTGGACTTGGCCCAGATGATTTATCGAGTTAGTCCTGCCTCTGTTGAGCTTGTTGCTGTGTTCCTTCTTGGTCCCCATGCCCATACTCCTCTCGGTGTCTACCCTGGAAGTGGAAACTCACTTTTGACATTGACCTGAGCCACTGAAAAGTCTTGGTGGCTCTTCTGCCCTGAGGGCTTGGAGGCCCCTGTTCTCAGCACTCACTGAGCCTGTGGTTTTAGAGAGGAGAGGGAGGAGCTGGGGATGTGGCAGAGAAAGGGCAGGGTTAGGTAGGTGCACACTTTGTAAGGTGCAAACTGTAGGTGTAAAATGACTGTAATTTGTTTTTAAATTTCTAAATCTTTTTTCTTCATATTAAAAATAACTACAGCTGGTGAACTGACACTGTTAAATAAGTTGAAGTGTACAAATGTATGCATAAAATACAAGCCCTCCAACTGCCTAATCACAGATATAAAATACCTCTGGCTTTTAATGTAGTTTTTATCTTTGATTAGTGAAGTTTGATGCTTTGTCCTTATAGTCAGTACAAAGAGATCAGGAATAATGGCATAATTTCATTTAGCAAAATTATTAAGTTCATGATATATTTTTTTTAATCTTTAAAACTCTTTTGTGGAGAGTAACAATATATTTCAACTACCTTTCTTCTTTTCTATTGCTTTTATGCTGTTTCCCGGAAATGAAAGCCAAATGCTTCAAGTGTCGGTTGTGTCCTGTGGCTTCACTTTGGAAGTTCTCTATTTCTCCCCGTCAGGGTACCTCCTGAAGTTTGTCTGGTGACATGTTGCTGGCCAGGTGTTCCATCTGGGAAGGGCAGCTTTGTGAAAAGGAGAGAGGATAGTCTATTAAATGCATGAATGAATAAGTCTGCTGTACTGAAAGAGAATCATTTGTTCTCTCTAATAACTGATGGTCCTCATTATCCCACAGTAAGATGTGTGTCATTTTTGTGAAACCCATGTAAGATTCTTGCTATTGGCTTAAAGAAAGCAAAATTTTACTTCTTTCCATCTGTGAATAGAAAAAAATATATATATGGTATTACTCTTCTTATACAATAGCCCTTTGGGGGAAACATGGCCACTAAAACTTGGAACACTTAGCTTTTGTTCTCCAAACTATAGGTTTTTCTCTCTCTTGTTCTAATGAGAGCTCTATATTCTGTGAATGAAATATTCAGAGTATGTGCAAACATCCAAATAGTCTTCTGAACCTAGGGAGTGATGAGAATAGCCTGAAGTTCATTCTTGATTTTCATTTTTTAATAAATTTATGTTTCATACATAACAGTATTTCCAGTCATCCCTCTCTTCCAGTGGACCATGATTTTTACACTACCTGTAACCTACATTTCTTTAATGTCAGTGATAAAATTTCAGACATTTGGTCATCTCGGCAATTTTCTCATTTGTCCTAAGAAATAAATGATGTTTTAAGGAAGCGAGAACTTAACAATTTAATATCTGAAAATGGTGCTTAAGACAAGAGAGAGAACACACTTAACCCAGAATGCTCCTGGGTAAAATTGGAAAATAAAAATCCCCCTTTTCAAAAAATACATCATGCTACTCATGTTACTATAGAGAGTAAGTTTTGTCAGAAGCCAGGGAGGGTCCTGCAACATCTTCTAGGAAATAACTGTAGCAGGGGTCCAAGAAATGTTTGGCAGGCCCCAGTGTGTGTGTAGTGGCGCTGTAGAGTAAGCACTGGACTTCAAACCCAATGGTCACCAGTTCAAAGCCACCAGCTCCTTCTCAGAAACCCTGTATAAGGTCACTATGAGTCAGAATCGACTCAATCACAGTTAACAACAGCAAGAAACCAGAGTGAGGAAAAAGAAGAAATTACAGGACATTGGAAGAAGAATGATGCCACCAACAGCTGTCTCAGGTACTGAATCAGTGAAGAACTTTACCCTTTTTTTCACGAGAAAGTTCAAAAATGTTCGTATGTGTCCTTCATTTCCAAACCTTAAATATTTTCTATAAAAATTAACGTATGATGCCAAGTGCAAATAGGGTGCTATGAGAAGTCCTGTCAGCTGCTAAGAACTACCTACCTCTGACAAGGTGGAGAGCCATTCCGACACATCATCAAATGACTCAGGCTCCAGCCCACTTCTGTATTCATTGAGTAGATTAATGTGGAAGACCTAATGTGTTCAGATCATACAGTAATAGGCATTGTGAGGGATAAAGTTGAGTCAGATACAGATCCTTTATGCTAATTGCAGCCCAGCATAGAAAACCACCTACTTGATTTCACTGTTGTGAAGGAATCTAGTGGACATCACAATATATGTCCCCAAAAGGGTAAACTCAAAAGGGGAAGTATGGAGTCGTCAATGGTTGACTACTCCACTGCTTATCAGTCTTCTAGCCCATGGATGAAGTGCAATGCAGGGGAATCCCTGTTATCCTAGCCTCTCCCTGAAGCACATTCGAGAATTTCTGCAGGGCCACTTCAGGAGTGTCAATTGCACAGCTCTGCACCTCATTCCCTACAAGGTGAGCACAAGCCAGTTTGTCTGAGCCTCACTAGCTTGTACCCTGAGGACCTGTGATGACACTACTCACCCAATGTAAGCTAGCTTACACTTGAAGAGCCCTGGGAGTTTCCAAAGGTAAATGAGGAGGTCTCAAAGTATTTAAGGTTGATCAAGTTTGTTAAAAGAGAAATCATTTTAATGAAGTTCACCAAAATAACACTTAACAAGATTGTGCGATGTATCGAAAAAATGTATAAGACATAATAAATGACAGAAGCTGAATACAGATACTTGAACTATATAAGATAGGAAAGGTTAAGTGAGGAAGTTTAAATGGTTCCCACTTATTGAAAAAATGCTAGC